CCCCCCCCCCCCCCCCTCGTAGAATAACATCGCTTTAGGATGCTGGAGCGGAGCAGTAGCGTATCATCAGGACCAGAAGTGTGAGTGGGATGAAGACACTGAGTGAGGTAGGCATATCTAGGATGCTTTCTGTCTTCTAATGGCGTGTGCAATGCAGGTCGAGCTTCACTTATCTTGCGGAATGCAGTGCAATGTGGTGCTTCTACTTTCTTTCGTAATTTCTGCAATGTTTGTAGATTCGCCTATCCGCAGACAATAATCGGTCCTTCCTCATTTCCTTGTGCTCATCGCGGGGTTTCGAGTGTCCCGGTTATTGTGGGGGCTTTGATCTCTGCCTTGCGGTTTTAACCGTCTGGGTCTTTAGTGATGCAGCTACTTTATGCTCAATCCCCGTTGAGCACATACTGATCTCCATCCTATTTACACGGGCTGTTACCGCTGCATTTACGGTTAGAAATGCGTAGGTTGTCCAGGACGATGGGGGGTGCAGGTGTCCAAGTTACACAGTAGCACATCAAACTTTAAACACAAATTTTATTCATTTGAATGTCTTTTTTTTTTATCATCCCTCTTTTGCAGAGTGCTCGAGTCGTACCTCTTAAAATATGATTAACTCACTCGTGTTTTCACTCTAACATCTCTCCAACTGCATGTTTATGTGTCCTGGCTGTTTGTGCATGTGTGTATTTCGGCCCTGAGTGTGTGTGTGTTTGTGCAAATGTGTAAAACGAGTGAAAAGAGATTGATAAAGTAATTTAAAAAAGTAGCCGTGCATTTGGCTTGATGGGGAATAATAACATACGATTTAGAGAGATCATTCACTAAAGGAAATTTTCCTTTCGGTCCTTCCCTAAATTCTTAGCTTGCAAAATATTATTTTTTTATTAATTCATTATTATGTATTGTAGATCAATAACAAACAATGCTCAGTGAGTCAGACTCTTATGCTCAGTTGCAATATTAGCCCTCTAAAACATGGAAAATTAAAAAAGCTGTGACGCTTTCTATGGTGATGATGATGTTTTGTGTATTGATAGAAACTGTGGTGGGAACTTGTTTTGTATCCTTGATTTATTGTGGTACATGAAAATGTACTCTACTTGTACATATACCTTAAGATATGGAAGCCTGGGTTAAAATGTGCATGATCTTAAAGACATTTAAAAATCACTTTTAGCATATTTTACATTATCACATACATTATTTACTCATTATCACTATCTGACTCCAGCCATTCTTCCGGTTATTTAATTTACTGTATATGGCAAACAATCTGATGAAAATAATTAGATTGTCATGAGCAAGCAATCTAGTGGAGCTTTTTTTTTTTTTTTTTCTTGCTGCCATTACTTGGACATCTTAGATCAATATCTGGATCAAACGCTGATCCCCTTCTCGTTTAAGCACACGGTGGTTTCCATTACATGTCCATCTGCTGGTACGGCGAGTAAAATTCTGTGCCAGACTGCCCGTGCATGTGTCCGGGAGCATCTTTACATTTATTTTGTTTGCTGCAGAGCTTTAGCTAATACTATAACTACAACGTCCGTGTCTGTGTCCTGCTTGCTTCGACTGCTCTCACTAATCACATTTCTGCAAGGTGTAATTAGTCTAGGGAGTCTAAAGCCTTAATCCCTGGTTTAAAGTGTACGGGATCTTTGCTTAATCAGTGTTGCTTCCCTTGTTACACTGGGCTTATCATCAGCATTTATTTAGGTATTTGTTCATTTATTTATGTAGCTTTTGTTATGAAGTAATGACAGCAGCAAGTGAAACATTATTCTGTACTTATAATGTCATAATGTTACACAATGCATCCTGTCCATATAGGTCTATAATGGATATTATATCCAGTCAAGACATCAGTGCAACATTCACTTTTCCAAAACTGCCTGGGCATTGGCTTGCTAATAATAGGTTCACATGTGCACAGCTTTGTTTCTTCTGGCAGCTCTTTCTCTTCTCTAAAAGCACAGTCTGACACATTCCTTACTTACAAATGTATAACACCTCCAGACCTATTTGAGAATGGCAAAATGCCAGTATGTATGGCAACAACTTCGATAGAACTTCTCCTCTCCACCCTCACAGTCACGCACAAAATGCAGCCTATATGGAAGCCCATTTTTGCGATTATGAAGGAAAAAAAAAGAGCCTGTAAGTCATTTTAATGAGAAACTATCTCAAAAGAATGAGTTAGCATCTCAAAATAACGACTTAGTATCTCGAAATAATGACTTAGTATCTCGAAATAATGACTTAGAATCTCAAAATAATGACAAACGTTGATATTTTGACTTAAGCTTAACACCACAAAGTACTTCTAATTTTCTGTCATGATCAAATGTTGTAAAATGATGCTCCATTGTTCTAGGCCTACAAGATATTATCCAGAGTAACGCTAAAGATAGCAGGCACCATGCAGGTGACCGACCATTCTCTGCCAGACGCCTTTACGTTTCTGACACATTTGATTGGTGTTAATCTGGATAATCTCGTGTAGGCCTAGAACAACACCATTTTTTTTATTATATTTTAACATTTAAACAAGTAGATGCGTGATGCCTTCATGAAGCTCACATACAATTCTAGCTTGGTGCCTCAAAGCACTACATCTGCTTGCTCTACATCAGCGCTCCGACACCAAAACCATGCTTGCTCTTTTCCGATAGCAATGACAGAAAGCTAGCTAGTGCAGTGCACGTACTTTGTGGTGGTAGGCCAAAGTCAAAATATTGAGAAAGTTTCTCATTACTTTTGAGGTACTAAATCATTATTTTGAGATTTATTTTCATCGCAGTGGCGGGAATGTAGTACGTATTTATTATTCAGCAAATACAAAGCCAAGCAGTTGCCTCTTATCTTGCTGTATGGAGGGTGACTTATCCTCTGTTTAGTCTTTGGAGAAGGCAAGCTTCAATGCTGTGTTCTATTGTTTGCTCCTCTCCACAAGTGCAGTGGGATTGAGCTGCTGCTCCCGAAGAGACTGGCCAAGCAGGGTCTGTGGCAGGTCCTGGATCTGTTGAGGATTGACCACTGTCTTATTGTGAGGATGGTGCCAGGGACCTGTTTAGTGGGGTCTGACAGCAGATGGTAGTTTGGGACTTACTTGGACTTCAATTTGTTGTCACAAACGATTGGTAATGTCGTCTGGTGGAGTTTTTGTCCCAATTGGTCGTCTAGATGGGAGACGAACAGTATTGACCTTTTGGAGCATCCTTTGAGTAGGTGCGACTCATCGTTGTGTGTGTGTGTGTGTGTGTGTGTGTGTGTGTGTGTGTGTGTTTGTGTTGTTTGCCGCCTCCCATTTTAGCCTGCAAGCTCATTTTAGCCTGTTTCAGCTTAAGTCTTCTCAGTTAAATGTTTTGTTCTTTGACAGCTTTTGGAGGTGAATACACTGGAGACTGTTTTTGCGAGGCTTAATTTATATTTAAAAATGATTATTTCAAGATATTATTTGTAGAACGTATATAGAAACAATTTGAACAGAGATACAGTTAAGAGTGAGTCCCAGCTTCATACTAAGCTAACATTATATGAGCTATGCTTTTTTGGCTTCTCAGGTTGAAGTAAGACAGAGAAATGATACAAAACTGCTAACAAAATCATCTCCACATACTCAAAATAATCATAAAAATTCTATTTGTTCAATTCTAACATGTGCAATAAAAGTCACATAACAGAGTGAGGGAGATGTGTCAATCAAAGTCTGTACAGTACACGCCCCCATAGTCCCGATAAAAGGTTTAATCAGCCAAAATAACTGAAATACATGTGTGATCGTACAGAACCTGTAGCTGTTCATCATTCATGTGAAACGGCAGAGAAGCTATTGTAGACCAGTGGGTATATAGCTCCAAAAGCTGCTGTGCAGTCCTCAGAAGTTGTACAATTTGGTTGTGCATGTTGAAATTTTATGCATTTGTGAAAATGCTGCAATATGACTTTGTGTATTTCCATATTGCAGCATTTCCCGGGTTGTAATGGTCCAGTATCCTTTAAGTGGTCTTATAGGAAGTGGGAGGAGGCTGTGATCGCCTGGCGTTCTTCAAGACACACAAAAGGCAATATCACAGTTTTAGTGCCAACTGATCATTTGGCAAGAGGACTAATCATCACTTCTGAACCATTTTGGGTATTTTCCCAGGAGGAAAAGCTCTTAAGATGTTCTTCGGTGTAAGAGCAAGCAGCTTGTAGTAAACAACATGTAAAGATTGAATTCTGCATCTAGTATCAAAAACGGGACCTATACTGTATATCTCTTTGACTTTTATTTTGTTTCAGGAGCAGGCCTCACCTTGACCACTTCTGATCACCTGTCAAGCCTATTTATACCCATCCTCTCTTGCCTAAGCCTTTATCCTTGCACCTTCCAACTTCATCCATCCCTATTCATATCCATTCATCCTCTCATCCTTCCTTTCATCTCTTCAATTGTCCCTCCCACTTCTCCCCCAACTACCCTATGTATGCATACCTCTCCTATTGCTTCCTTCTACCTCCACCCACATGACGGGGCAGGGTCCTTAAAAATAAAATGTGGTTTTGAATTTGTCTGTACGCCACATTTTACGATTAAACAATACAAACTATTTGCACATTGCCTGAAGCTCACTATGTGATAATCAATAAGAACAAGCCTCTATGTGTCTCTGATAACTGACAATGTTGACCCGACACTGCAAATTACAATCCTATTCAATATACATGGAACAGTCTTGAATCAATTCATTGTTTAAGTGTTTAAGTGTAGTAATATGAATATTTTATATTAACTATATAATAGTTTGGATTGTTGGTCTGAAGAAAAAATGAAATTCAAAATGTCACCTATGACTTTAAAAATAATATTACACAATTTCCTAGCATTAAATATACAAAACAATTGTTAATTAATCAATAATGAAAATGATTGTTAGTTGCATTAGATACAAAGCTACAACATTAAAAACACAGCATGTCTACAGCTGCGTATCACTAAACAAAATCATAAAACAAGCACTGTTACCAACGGAGCATTTTCCTAATGTCTATAAGCCAACCATATCGATCTATATTCTGATGGGAAAAGCCTCAGCTCATATAAACCGCTGTCTCTTATTGCACA